TGGATGAACCGAAATGTAACCACCCCAGTGACTCCTTCAGATACAATCTGAAAAGTCACGTTTATGATTACTCTTCTCCTTCTGGGGGCCCTGCCTCCCCTTGGTCCCAAGTAATCCTCACCAACTCCCTTAGACAACAGCTAAAATGTTAAATGTGTAAAAGGTGGCTTTCTAGCACTTGAGCACTTAATCGTCGTACTTTAAGAAGTAGATTTGCTATGAAAAATCTCAGCTAACATTCACTTTTTGGAAGTTAATCTTACCAGAAAAGTTCATAAAATGAGTTCTGGTTTTCTAAAATGGCAAGATACTTTATTTGTAAGATCTCGTTACTTTAACACTGCATTGTTAGGTGTGATTTTTGACATCCCAGTAAAGCAAAGCCATAATCTCACCAGATGCCATTAAACTTATGATACATTTTATCAGCTCTTATTTTATACAGTATATTCAAGCTTAATATAGATTCTATAGCCCTGGGAACTGTTAGTTTTCAGGACTGCAGAATTATATTGTCTGAGCTGCTGCTGCAAATCCCAGTATAGAGATTTCAAATCAGTGAGTCTTGGAGTCTGAGTATTATCATGAACATTTTAGCTCAGTTCATAGGAGGCCACACCCAGAACACCAGAGTCATGGCTGTGATTCCATCTATTTCCTCTAGCCTGTGAGCTCAGTCCACATACCTCAGTGGGGACCCTGGGACAGGTGATCCCACTGGAGCCAGCACCACTCCCAGAAATCGAAGCAGAATGCAAGCTGTATGAAGAGTAGACTAGCAGTTCTCATGCAGGCCACACATTAGCAACATGTGGGGGAGTTTTTTAAGCAACACCCATGACAGCCAGACACGGTGACTCACGCCTGTAATCCCAGCACTTTGGGAGGCTGAGGTGGGTGGATCACTTGAGGTCAGGAGATTAAGACAAGCCTGGCCAACATGGCAAAACCCCATCTCTATTAAAAATACAAAAATTAGCCAGGCGTGGTGGTGGGCACCTGCAATCCCAGCTACTTGGGAGGCTGAGGCAGGAGAATTGCTTTCACCCAGGAGGCAGAGGTTGCAGTGAGCTGAGATCGTGCCACTGCACTCCAGCCTGGGCGTCAGAGCAAGACTCTGTCTCAAAAAAATAAAATAAATAAAAGAGCAAGTTGCATCTTATGTGGATGGCAGCAGGCAAAGAGAGAGCTTGTGCAGAGAAACTCCTGTTTTTAAAATCATCCGATCTTGTGAGACCTATTCACTAATACAAGAACATCATGGGAAAGATCCACCCCTGTGATTCAGTCATCTTCCACTGGGCCCCTCCCACAATACAGGAGAATTATGGGAGCTACAAGATGAGATTTGAGTGGGGACACAGAGCCAAACCATATCATTCTGCCCTGGCCCCTCCCAAATCTCATATCTTCACATTTGAAAACCAATCATGCCTTCCTAACAGTCCCCCAAAGTCTCAATTCATTTCAGCATTAACCCCAAAGTCTACAGTCTAAAATCTCTTCCCAGAGAAGGCAAGTCCCTTCCACCTATGAGCCTGTAAAATCAAAAGCAAGTCAGTTACTTCCTAGATGCAATGGGGGTACAGGCATTGGGTAAATACAGCCATTCCAAATGGGAGAAATTGGCCAAAACAAAGGGGCTACAGGTCCCATGCAATTCTGAAATCCAGTGGGACAGTGAAATCTTAAAGCTCCAAAATGATCTCCTTTGACTCCATGTCTCACATCCAGGTCACGCAGGTGCAAGAGATGGGTTCCCATGGTCTTGGGTAGCTCTGTCCCTGGGGCTTTACGGGATACAGCCTCCCCCCTGGCTGCCTTCACAGGCTGGTGTTGAGTGTCTACAGCTTTGCCAGGCACAGGGTACAAGATGTCAGTGGATCTGGGCTCTGGAGGATGGTGGCCCTCTTCTCACAGCTCCACTAGGCAGTGCCCCAGTAGGGACTCTGTGTGGGGCTCCAACCCCATATTTCCCTTCTGCACTGCCCTAGCGGAGGTTCTCCATGGGAGCCCTGCCCCTGCAGCAAACTTCTACCTGGACATCCAGGCATTTCCATACCTTCTCTGAAATCTAGGCAGAGGTTCCGAAACCCTGATTCTTGACTTACGTGCACTGGCAGGCTCAATACCACATGGAAGCTGTCAAGGCTTGAGACTTGCACCCTCTGAAGCCATGGCCCAAGCTCTGTGTTGGCTCCTTTCAGCCATGGTTGAATTGGCTGGGACTTAGGGCACCAAGTCCCTAGGCTGCACACAGCATGGGGACCCTGGGCTTGGCCCAGGAAACCACTTTTTCCTCCTAGGCCTGCAGGCCTGTGATGGGAAGGGCTGCCAAGACCTCTGACATGCCCTGGAGACATTTTTGTGATTGTTTTGGGGATTAACATTCAGTTCCTCTTTACTTATGCAAATTTCTGCAGCCAGCTTAGATTTCTCCTCAGAAAATGGAATTTTCTTTTCTATTGCATTGTTAGGCTACAAATTTTCCAAAGGTTTATGCTCTGCCTCCTCTATAAGGCTGAATGCCTTTACCAGCACTCAAGTCACATCTTGAATTCTTTGCTGCTTAGAAATTTCTTCTGCCAGATACCTTAAATCATCTCTCAAGTTCAAAGTTCCACAACTCTCTAGGGCAGGGGCAAAATGCTGCCAATCTGTTGGCTAAAACATAACAAGAGTCACCTTTGCTTCAGTTCCCAACAAGTTCCTCATCTCCATCTGAGACCACCTCAGCCTGGACCTTATAATTCATATCACTGCCAGCGTTTTTGTCAAAGCCATTCAACAAGTCTCTAGGAAGTTCCAAACTTTTCCACATTTTCCTGTCTTCTTCTGAGCCCTCCAAACTGTTCCAGCCTCTGCGTGTTACCCAGCTCCGAAGTTGCCTCCACATTTTCAGTTATCTTTTCAGTATGGCCCACTCAAAAGAGAAGCGATTCTATTGAAGGAGCTCAGCCATCTGGGAGTTCCCACGGCAGACATCTGTTAGCGTCTCACCCTTACCTGCCCCTTGAGGTAGGCCTGGAACATTACCGGGCTCCTTTTCCCACTGCACTTTTGGCACATTCTCTGGTTTTCCCTTGGAGCACGCTCCCTCCAGGACATGTTACAACCCTTTCACCGAAGCCTTCCTGGACAATCGATTCCAAAATGCTGCCTCTATTCATTTAATGTGCATTATAACTCTTCATTTGTTCCACACAAGTCTGTGTTGATTCCAGACTGCCTTAGGCTATGCTTTGGGATTTCCATCCTTGATGAGTCTTACCTCTTTGTGTAGGAACTTTCTTCTACTTTTTTGGAGACAGAGCAGGCCCTCAGTTGATGCCCACTGAATTGAACTGAAAGACCAGCCAGAGATCAATGTTGAGTTTTAATGTGGATTGTATATTTCCATCATATGACAACTGTGTTGGCGGGGGTTGGGGCATAGAACAGAGAGGGCAGTTGAGAGTGGCCTGTTTTGTCTTTGGGGTGCTTCAGTTTGTCAAGAGACAGATTGTGTAAAAAGCATGTATCAGGCTACCTGGGTTGACCAACATGCTTGTGTAAGCTGTGTTCTGCAATATCCAAGCAAAGAAAATGAATTACGTAAATATTAAGAGATGCTGCTGAGAAGTTCAGCATCTTACCTAAGACAGAGATGGATAGAGGTCAGGCATGAAGGCATTTCAGCTGAGAAAAGGAGAGTTTTTTAGTTGACAGTCAAAAAGTTGCTGGCTCTTGATGGATGCCAGTCATTTGTGTTGGCAGTCAGCTGCGTTGTTCAGTAAGAATTTCAGTGCAGCAGAGGCGGGCTGAGTACTTCCTGTGCTGACCAGTGAGCTGGCTGCTGGCGGAGATGTGAAAGGAAGAAGCCACCCTGCCCTCACCGGGCTTCCAGATGGGGAGGTGGTGAGGTGGGGTGGAGATGTGTGGGCGGAATGGAAAGAATGAAAAGTAAAAGGACACTTTGTAATCTGACCTGCTCTGGCAACTGTGGAAGCGTTTCAGGGTAGACACCTGTGAGGCTTTCCAGCCAAAGGCAGGTGGATGCAGATAGGCTGTCCTTGAGAAGGCAGCAGCGCACGGTGCTTCTGTCTGAATTGGAGCTTGCATCAAAGGCCAGCGGTCCCCCCAGATAGTCATGTTCCTTTTTGTCTCTTCATCTATGTGATTCCTTTCCCATGACTGGGAGCGAGTATTTCCTCTGAGCCCACATTCCCTAGGCCTGGTCCTGGCTCCCTGCTAAGACCAGCTTAGCTCCCTCCTCGCGGAGGTTTCCCCTGGGGCTGGTTGAACCCTGGCCGCTCATCCTCGCCAGGCCTTATGTGTCCTCTGCTCCCTGCCTGTGCACTCTGCAGGGCTCTGCACCCTTTTAGGGTGAGGGTGTTACCATCTTCATCTGCTTCTACTCCATTACTAGCATGTGCACCAGCTCAAGACTTTTTTACTCATAATTCTACTTGCCACAAAACTGTGGAGCTGAGCGGTTAGACTGGAGGGCAGAACTGCAGGCCCACTGTGGTCAGGTCATCCTGAAATTGCTCTTGGGCTGTGTCTTTCCTGAGTCTCTCTGGGCTGTTCTGTGTGGGAGATGGAAAACTGGATTAGGCCAACCATTGAGGGGACCGGGTGGGCCTGTTGAGGCCATCTGCTCTTGTTGCTCCCTAGAAAGCCATAACTTCTTGATTTCAGAGCTACCTCACCTCGGCTGCAGAGGGTCAGCCCTAGGCAATGACTCTGCAATTTCAGGTCCAAAGACACACCTAACAGCTGATGTGACAATGGAGAGCCTTGTGTGTAAACACCGAACAGGAGTGTGGGTGCACACCTTCCTTACTCAGATCCGAAATGATAGCCAGAGGGGTCTGAGGTGAATGAAACCCTTTGCCCTACACAGAGGCCCCTCTGAGATTCCTGCTGAGCACAGACAGAGACACTTGGTGCCCTTGGGGGCAGCGGATACTAACAGGGAGGGCCCCGTGCATTATTTTCCACCTCTTGTCCTCTCTCAGAGTGCTGAGCAGATCACTGCACTGTGCAGGAGTTTTAACGACACTCAGGCCAACGGCATGGAAGGACCGCGGGAGAGTCAGGATCCTCCTCCGAGGCCTCTGGCCCGCCACCTCTCTGATGCAGACCGCCTCCGCAAAGTCATCCAGGAGCTTGTGGACACAGAGAAGTCCTACGTGAAGGTAAGGGAAGCGCTGGGCATTCGTGCATTCGCGCCTCTTTGCTGATGGTGAGTGGTAAGCTGGCAGAGGTCCCCAGATCGCTTCTGCCCGGGACACCGGCCACTCCCCAGGGGGACGCCTGCTCCTTGAATCAGTGAATTGCTCAAAGAAGGGAGGGGAGGAGTGAGAGGGTGGAAGAGCTGAGGAGACTTAGAAAAAAATCAGATCCTCGGCTTATTTTGTTACCAAGGTAGCTTTCACTATGGAAACAGATGTTCTGGTTTGTCATTTGCAATCTGTGGGAAGGGAGTCTGTACCGGTTTAGTAAAAGGGGAGAGAGATCATTTTAGGTGATGAGGAACTTGGGAACAATCTGTACATACGTGACGGCTGATCCAGGACCACAGTCCCGGCGGTGGCCCGGGCCAGCCCTCCCTGGTGGTTGTCATCGTGTAGAACTGGGGCGCATGCACTGGGGACTGGTCAGCACGTGGGAATATCCTTGCACCATGTATGAAGGGGCAGTTGCCGAGTATCTTGAGTACCCGAAGAATTCATTTATTCATCTCATAAGCCCCAAGTCCGTGGTTTGAGAAAGATTTTTTGAAGAATACAGGAGCCTGGGGAGCAGCGTTCTTTTGCTTTAAGTGTTTCCTGGAGCTTTGGGACCATTTGAAGCTCGCTTCATTTGTCAGTTACTGGAGCAGTGCGGCGCGGTGCGGTGGGCTGAGGGTCCAGCCCTGGCTTTGCCTCCGTCTTGCTGCCTGGTGGACAGCCCCCTTCAACTCCCTTATTTGGGGTCTGAGACACTCGGTCCCCCTTCTCTAAATGCCTTCCAATTCTGAGGTGCTGAGTCCTTGAATTAAGGCTTGGCACACACATGCGGCTATTACCTTCTTTCTCTGCAAGACAGATCTGAGCTTCCCCTTTCGTTGATGTCACTGTTTTACCTGGACTTTACCTAAGGCCTTATTCACACGTAGCTTCCCAAAGCCCCTTCTTTTGGTCTCAAAGGGGAGAAAGAAAAGTTAGAGAGATGACAATTTAGTTTCATTTTCCATTGTGTCTTGTCCTGCATCCAGGGTGTGGAGATGAAGTGAACAGCCGGGCTGTTCAGACTCAAGTTCTGAATAATCCCGTCTCCTTTTCCCATGTCGCTGTGTGGAGCTGTAGATATTTTGGAAGCTTCAGAGCCCTTCTGACATCCTGAGAATAGTCATGGAGCTCTCGCCCCCAGAGTCAAGGGCAGAGCTGAGAGAAGAATCGATGTCCCTTTTTGTTAATAGTGTTGTTAGAGTTTCCTGTTAGGCCACGCTGCACTGGGAGGGTCATTTCAGTGACAGGCTGGAGGAAAACTCAGATGGTGTCATGGGTGAAGTAGACAAGGACCGACTCTCCCTTCTCTCTGCAAGAAACCTGCACTTTGTTTTCTCAGGGCTCCTCGGGTCACAGCCCTTTGCCCCCGCAGCTCTGCGCGGACCTGACCTTGCGGCCCAGTAAGTCCTCCCGGGCAGTACCAGCCTGTGAGGAATGACTGCCAGGCCCCAGCACCCTCGGGCAAAGTAACCCGCACTTGGCACCTGTTGTGATTCACACACACACCACCGTCTCTTAATTTCCTTTTTGTTGCTGACGCTTAACACAGAATCTTGTCGTTTTTTAACCTGGATCCCTGCATGCTCCTTGAAATTGCTGGCATCTCTGTGTTCCCCGAGGTATGATTCCGTAACTTCTGTCATCTCCCTTCTCTGAGCGGTCTGGCGTGGAATATGGTGAGGGAAGGTCAGGGAGGTTTTTATTGTGAAACAGCATCCGTGTCACAGGCCTTGCCTTGCCCTCCGAACTAAGGCCAGAAAGTTCTGCGGGGCGCTTTGGGCTTTATAAAGCTCTGAGTCTTAGATTCCCCTCTTGGGAAGTGAGGGAGTTATTATAGCTGACTTTGCAGTCAACTGCCTCTAGTATTTTAGGACTCACAATTCTTCAGAATAAAGGAGAAATCTTTTCTATCACTAAACTATATCCTGGCCTTGGCTTCAAATTTTTATTATTATTATTTTGGAGATGGAGTCTCGCTCTGTCACCCAGGCTGGAGTGCAGTGGCATGATCTTGGCTCACTGTAGCCTCCGTCTCCTGAGTTCAAGTGATTCTCCTGCCTCAGCCTGAGTAGCTGGGACTACAGGCATGGGCCACCACATCCAGCCTTTTTTTTTTTTTTTCAGTAGAAACGGTTTCACCAGGTTGGCTAGGCTGGTCTCAAACTCCTGACCTCAGGTGATCCACCTGCCTCTGCCTCCCAAAATGCTGAGATTATAGGCATGACCATGCCCAGCTTTGGCTTCAAATTATTAAACAAAATCTTTCGCTCATGGGTTTTGTAACTGCAGTCTACTCCCACTATACTGTCATGCTGGAGCCTCATTTACAAGAGACCCAAATATGGCTGAGAGTTTAGCCATTAGAGCTGCAGCTCTGTAGGAATTTTTTATTGACTTTGAATATGTGAGTTTGAGATTCTGCAAATCAGTCAGCCCCAAAGTTGAAGGGCTCCCCAGATCTTGACCCTCCCAGCTCCACGCTGGACCTCACTCTGCTCCCTGAGGCAGAGGAAGCCAGGAGCTGGTTTGCGTCTGACACTAGTGCCACACAGACCTCCTTCCTCTGCAGGGAAGTGAGTGCCCCTGCTGCAGTGGCCCAAAGAGAGGCAGAGGCAATGATTGAGCTATAAAGGTATGGAATCCAGCTGTTGCCTGTATTGTGATATTAACCTCTTTGAATTAGGTGAGCAATAATCACTACTTTTAGGGTCAGGAATTTCAACAAAGGCTAGGTGTGGTGGCTCACACCTGAAATCCTAGCACTTTGGGAGGCTGAGGCATGAGGATCACCTGAGGTCAGGAGTCAAGACCAGCCTGACCAACACGGTGAAACCCGGCCCCTACTAAAGATACAAAAATTAGCTGACTATGGTGGAGTGTACCTGTAGTCCCAGCTACTTGGGAGGCTGAGGCAGGAGAATCTCTTGAACCCAGGAGGCAGAGGTTGCAGTGAGCTGAGATCGCACTGCTGCACTCCAGCCTGGGTGACAGAGCAAGACTCTGTCTCAAAAAATAATAATAATAATAATAATAATTTCAACAAGGCATAAACTTCATTATCCTGATGGGAGCCTTGGGAGCTGCTGCCAGGTTGCTGCTACCCAAATCTTGTGGGTATTTTGGAGACTAAAGCATCGAAGACACTTTCTTGTGTTTTCTTTCAGGATCTGAGCTGCCTCTTTGAGTTATACTTGGAGCCACTTCAGAATGAGACCTTTCTTACTCAAGATGAGGTAAATAAAATCCCCTTCCTTCTGTCCAGTGATCCACGGGTTAGTCTCTGTTTGCCTTTTAGCAGAACTCCTATGAGATGATCTCTATTGATCCTGAAAGAACATCCCAAGACTTAAGGGTCTTCTGAGAGTCCCAGGCATAGCCTCCTCCTAAGCCACTGCTGTGGCCTCGGCTGCATGACACAGTGGCAGAGCATTTACAAAGGCAGAGCGATGGTTATGGTCTTTTTGAGGTAGAAGAGAGTGTGATCAGAAATTCCTTTTCAATACATATCTTTGTAATGTTAAACCACATAATTAGTTCTTTTCTAGTGACTTACGTTTTTCTTGATTTGAATTCTGAGAACTTTACATCCACTTAAAAAGTTCCTGTAGAAATAGAGAATTATAGGGGATGGAGCTGTGAAACTTTCTATGTATAAGCCATATCCCATAATGAACGTGCTGTCTTCTTAAAGGATTTACTTTCTGTCTGCTTCTCCGTGAAGAATTTCCTTGTGATTTATTTGTGGGCCTAAGATTTAGCGTGGTATCCTGAACTTCATGGCTAATCCCCTCGTTTCAAATCCTGATCTTCACATAGATGGAGTCACTTTTTGGAAGTTTGCCAGAGATGCTTGAGTTTCAGAAGGTGTTTCTGGAGACCCTGGAGGATGGGATTTCAGCATCATCTGACTTTAACACCCTAGAAACCCCCTCACAGTTTAGAGTAAGTATCTCAGATTTAGGCTGAAAGTGAAAAGAAATGGCTAGGTGCAAAATTCTCTCATGAGAAAGAATGTCTTGTCCTGTGACTATTTCCTTGCACCGTTTTCCTCTAGCGGGTGGTAAAGCGAGGCTGTATTTTTTTTTTTTTCCTGTTGCACATACTTCTGGTAGTCAGAAGTCCGGCAGCACCTCCCGCCTGGTTGCTAAGCACGCACATGCTCTTTTCTCAGCTGCTGTTAAGGATATCCAGGGTGGTTGCTTCTGAAACCGGAGCTCCTACACCCTGCGCCCAATCCTTCTTCCCTGTGGTCATGTGGATCTGGGATTAACAGACTAGGTTTCTAATTGCTGGGCTCGAGCCCTCTCTTCTCTGAAGCACCAGTGCTCCATAGCATCCGTGTAAGCCACAGTGTGGTAGGAAGCCCCTCCAAGGGGACCTGGAACCATACAGACAGCATCACTCTATCCAAGCAATGCACAGTCAGCTTTATTAATGAACCTCTCAGATGGTTTATATCCCACCTTGTCAGCTATAGTTTTATAGAACTTTCTTTGTTTCTTGTCCTTGGATTGAACACAGTCAGTAGGCTCTGCTGCTGGAAACTTTGCAGTCAAGCTAGAGACCTGCCAGGGCAGCGCCTGGGCTGTTCCCCGCCTCCTGTGTGGACGGAGCAGGCCTGAACTTCTTTAAGGCATTAGTGCTGTGGAGTCTGACAGAAGCCATGGGGCCGTCAAATGCCACAAGCCGGCACGCATTGATTAAACCATGTCTGATTTGACTTTCCCCTCTGCCCTTCTAGAAATTACTGTTTTCCCTTGGAGGCTCTTTCCTTTATTACGCGGACCACTTTAAACTGTACAGTGGATTCTGTGCTAACCATATCAAAGTACAGAAGGTTCTGGAGCGAGGTAAGTTGCTTATGCCTTTTATGGTTTTTTTGTTTGTTTGTTTTTGCATTTTTAACTGTTAGTAAAGGGTAAATCTGTATTTAACAGGTAGCGAGTAAGTGCAATTTTGATGTATTAAGGTCCATCCTTGACCTTGACAGTGACAAATATTCAAGGGAAAGATTTCTGTTTCTGTCAGTTTACTGGTCGCCGGAAACAAGTGTGCCTGAGAGCAGAGATGTTGCTTTGCCACGTGTCACTTTGCTGTCAGTTACATCTGGATTCTTTTCTTGCCAAATTCCTTTCTCTAAAAACTTGCAACCCCAGACCCTAGATGGGAGTAGAAAGAAATGCATGCTATGTTTTTTTTGTTTTTCCTTGTTAACCTTCTTAAGCCTGAGAAGCCACAACAACTTACCACCAAACCACTACCACCAAACTCACAAGAAGTTTGCCAGCTGGAAGTAAAGTCTCTCCGGTGCACCTGGAAAGAGCTCACATTTCCCAAAGGTTGCTCTTCGGTGCTTGTCTCTGCGCGGGCCTGGAGGGCACCTGGAGGTTTATCCTGACACCCTTAGTGCTCATTCATGTCCACAGATGCAGCTCTGCCATTGGATTTTAATCCAGAACATCATGGTATCCCAGAAGAAAAGCCCCACATTTAAAAAGTGGGGTCTTAGAGTGCTTCAGATGAGCAAGACCCAGACCAAATCCATCTTCTCCAGCTGCTTTAGACAGTTGTCTGACCTCTGTTGCCATTTCCTTCCACAAACACCCTCTTCTAAATTAATTAATTAATTTAAAAAATGTTCCTAGAGATGGGTCTCACTGTGTTGCCCAGGCTGGTCTCGAACTCCTAGCCTCAAGTGATCCTCCTATCTAGGCCTCCCAAAGTGCTGGAATTACAGGCCCACCACGCCTGGCCCACAAGCACCTTTGTATTGACGGTCTGTAGTACAATGAAAGCATAGCAATGTACTTGTCAATACGTATTGACAATCGATGCAGTACAATGAAAGCATACCAAGGGCTTGCTCAGTTCCTCCTTTGTCATAAAGAAGAGGGGTCCTGTCACCACCTTCTTGGCCTGGTAATCACATTCAAAATGGTATTGCATCTCCTGGAATATGTGATCTTACAACACAATCCCAAATAAGGGTTTATCTTCCTTCAGAGTAGCTACATTCCAAGCAGCTGGTCATCCAATGCCAACTGGTGGAATCCAAGTAGCACTGGTGTATCCGCTGGTACTCAAACCAAATGCACCTGGATTCCTACACACACCCTTCATGGTACTCAGACACTGAACAGAGGGGCAGTTTTCACTGCCAGAGAGGGTCCTACTGCCATGCCTGGTGGAAGGGAGCTGTGGCTCTGGGTGTGCGAACGGTGAATCTGCTTGGAGCTGTGGAGTGAAGGGTATAGGCTGCAGTGCCTGTCACCTTACTTTACAGGAGAAAAGATACTGCTTTTCAGAATAAAATAAACAACAATTAGAGTGAGGCCAGTGGGAAAAACACTGGTTTATTTTTCTTTATGAAATTTTTGTGGGTATGGTTTAGGGTCTGGATAACATTGCTTAATGGCTTTTTTGATGTTGTTTTTTTTGAGGTGGAGTCTCACTCTGTTGTCTAGGCTGGAGCGCAGTGGCAAAACCTCCACTATTTAAGGCCCCATGTTTACAGGTATCATAAAAATTAAACCAGCTGTGCTTGCATTTTAGCAATGACTGTGTGTACATCACTAATGATTTCATATTAATAAATATGATTTCATATTAATAAATATGATTTCATATGGGTTTCACCATGTTGGCCAGGCTAGTCTGGAACTCCTGACCTCAGATGATCCACCCGCCTCAGCCTCCCAAACTGCTGGGATTACAGGAGTGAGCCACTGTGCCTGGTCACACTTCATGGCTTTTAATGAATTGTTTGAAACTCACTTTTTAGGTCACCTATAACAATATTTCTCGTGGATATGCATGAAATGTGTCTTTAAGTCAGACATTCCCGCATGTTGAGTCGGTGTTACTCTTTGGCGTGCAGCCTGCATTCCATCCTCGGAAGCTCCCAGGCTCCAGGGCGGTCAGGGCTGAGGGGAATCCCACGCTGACAGCTGGGTGCCTGACCCGCTGATGTGTTGGGGTTTTTATTAAAGAATGGCATTAGGAGGACTATAGAAATGGATGAGCTCAAGCCTGTAATCCCAGCACTTTGGGAGGCCGAGACGGGCGGATCACGAAGTCAGGAGATCGAGACCATCCTGGCTAACCCGGTGAAACCCGCCTATCTACTAAAAAAAAAAATAACAAAAACCAGCCGGGCGAGGTGCGGGCGCTGTAGTCCCAGCTACTCGGGAGGCTGAGCAGGAGAATGGTGAACGGGAGGCGCGGCTTGCAGTGAGCTGTAGATCCGGCCACTGCACTCCAGCCCGGAGATAGAGCGAGGACTCCGTCTCAGAAGAAAAAAAAAAAAAAAAAGAAATGTATGAGCTATAAATGTTAAAAGATAAATGAAGAATTTAATTCACCCCACTGTGCTCTTCTAAGGTCTTTTATCCATCTGCTTGTAGCTAAAACTGACAAAGCCTTCAAGGCTTTTCTGGACGCCCGGAACCCCACCAAGCAGCATTCCTCCACGCTGGAGTCCTACCTCATCAAGCCGGTTCAGAGAGTGCTCAAGTACCCGCTGCTGCTCAAGGAGCTGGTGTCCCTGACGGACCAGGAGAGCGAGGAACATTACCACCTGACGGGTGAGGAGGCGGCGAGGGGCACCCCTGGGCAAGGGCCGGACAGGGTGGCGAGGGGCACCCCCGGGCGAGGGCCGGACAGGGCGGCGAGGGGCACCCCCGGGCGAGGGGCTGCCTGCTGTGCCCTGGGCCTGCCAGCTCACCTCTTCCCCGCCTAGTGGCACGTCCTGTGTCACTTTTCAGTTCTGCGATGGTTCATCTTAGGTTTCATGTGAATATGTGAAAGTAGCTAGGTGTCTGGTCACTCCTTTAGAGCTTACAAAATACTTGGGTAAAAATGATCTCTTCAGGGTATCACCATTCTCCTCCTATGCGGGGATGATTCCGTCTACACTCTCAAAATAAGTAAACTACCTCAGGTCACTTGGCTGTGAAACTGTGCCGCTGGAACTGAAAATCAGCCCTATTTTCCTATCACTTGGTTAAGTTTTGTGGTGGTCGCCACCCGAGCTGCTGGTCGGATTTGTTGGGTGAGGCTCCACCTTGTGGAGATCTGTGAGCAGAGCTCGGCTCCGAAACCAAACTCCCAGTGATGGGTTGTGCTTTCAAGTCGCTGCTGTTGTGTTACCGTTTGAACCTCTGAAATTACTGGCCTGAGACACAATTTGTCAAAAACACAAAGCCTTGCAGTTTGATAGTAAGTAGAGGATCCTTAAAGAGGGGCTTTATTTGGGTTGGAGATAGTGATTTGTTCATATGTTGAAACTAGGAGGTTCAGTTAAACCATAGGTGATAAAATTTCTAGGGAGAGAGAGAGACTTACTAACACTTTAGTATTACTGAATAATAAATACTGAGATGAGCATAAATTAAACTGGCTCTTTTTTCCATGACAAGCATACTTTGGTATCAAGCTCAACAAGAGGAAAGCATTTTTGTATGACAGTTAAATTCTGTAATAATACAAATTATGTTCAGCATTCATACTGTGTAAAAACTTCATTTTGTATTAAGATCATCTTTAGAAGGGTTTGATTTAAAAAACTTCCTTCCAAACTTCCCTCCAGATAGAATTAAAATGCTGAATTGGGAGAAAAAAAGTATGAAGAATACCGAATTTAGAAGTGACCTAAAATTTTGCTTTTTGGCTTTTATAAAATAATGTATCCCTCATATTCCTTCATGGAAAGTTATGAACATATACCATATATAAATGTAAACAGTTGTTCTGTCAGTCAGTCATGTACGGGGGTGTTGTTATGTTCTATTTAAACCTGGATCCCGGTTCCCAGAAGGGGAAGCCAAACTCGAGAGCTGGTGCCCTAAGCCCAGTCAGTCTTGGGTTTGAAGCCAGCTCCATTCTCGTGCTTTCCTCTCTGGAACTCCGGCAGAATATCCTGCACTCACTTTCCTCACCTGTAAAATGGGATTGATTAGTCTTTAGTTAGTTATTGTGTACACTAAATGAGATGATTCACAGAAATCACCTGTCGTGATCCTTGCTGAGTAGAAAGTGCTCCATACATGTCAGTTGTCGTTATTAGTGATACTTTTCACTGATACTCTGCCTCATTTCAAAAAGAATTTGAAGTAGAAGATAATTTTGCTGTTCTTCATTCTAATGGCTGGGCTACAGTGGGCTATTGTGACTTATTCTGAATGTAATGCTCCTGCTAGTGGGTACTGGTCTGGAATCCTGAGTTGAATCTTCACTCCATTATTACTGTTGGATAGGATCTAAAACAATATAAATATTTATTTATTCTTAAATAAATATGATTTATATAAATCATATTTAAGAATATTAAGAATAAATATTTATAAATATGATTTCATATTAATAAATATGATTTCATATCTTGCAGAAGCACTAAAGGCAATGGAGAAAGTAGCGAGCCACATCAACGAGATGCAGAAGATCTATGAGGATTATGGGACCGTGTTTGACCAGCTAGTCGCTGAGCAGAGCGGAACCGAGAAGGAGGTCCGTGAGGCGCCTGCACTCTGGGAGCCTAGTGCATGTGGTGTGGGGTCTGTAGGTGACCTCTCAGATAGGCTGCCCTGTTAGGACTTCCCTGGAGGAGAAAATGCCTAAGATTTTCTTGATAACAATGTGTCTAATGAACTATACAATTTATGTATAGACATATCATAAACTTCATTACACTGGTTTAAAATATAACCTTATGTCACGTTCACACTGGCTGGAACATCCGTGGAGGGTGAGCTGGCAGAGGCTGGGGCGGAGAAAGGACGTGGGAACTGGCAATGTGGAGTCTGGGGCTTTTCCTTTTTTATTTTGCTTTTTTTTTTTTTTTAAAAAAAACATCAAATATATTTTTTTAACATCAAACATATATATTTTTAACATCACATATTGGTGGTTGCCTGCTTACTTACAAAACTAGTCCAAGCAGGATTTGACATTTTCTGTATTTTTCCTTTTTATCTGATTGCTTAATTTATAATCTTGTGCTTCTAAAGCTGGCATGCTGGAAGTAGCATAGTTTAGGCAGAAAATGGCAGGAACAGGAAAGAGCTGGAGATCAGTCCTTCACTCTGGCCAGTTTCAATGCTGGTGCTCTTTTATCAGCAGCCTGAACGGAGCTCAGGGGTGGTGGATGTACTAGATCCCAGGGGAAAGCTTACAAAGGCACTCGAGAAGAACCACGGACACTGGTAGAGTTCATCTTATGGAAATCGAGTTGGTCACAAGGCACGTCTCACCTACATGTGTGTGCATTGGAGCAAAATGCCTTCAGCTTTATGTTATTGATCAGACACTTTGGTGCTTAGCTCATATTTTCAAAACCTCCACTATTTAAGGCCCCATGTTTACAGGTATCATAAAAATTAAACCAGCTGTGCTTGCATTTTAGCAATGACTGTGTGTACATCACTATCTAACATGAGATGATCTAGCATGGGATTTCCGTATCTTCCTTACCTCCTGTTTTTACAATCTAGGTAACAGAACTTTCGATGGGAGAGCTTCTGATGCACTCTACGGTTTCCTGGCTGAATCCATTTCTGTCTCTAGGAAAAGCTAGAAAGGACCTTGAGCTCACAGTATTTGGTTAGTATTCCATTCAGAAGAATGTAGACTGAAGAGGCTGGGATTAACGAAGAACTTCACTGGCCACACCAGTCCAATTCACTCCTGGGCTCCAGAAGTTAGAATTGCTATAATGGTTGGGGACTTAACAGGGCCAGACCCCAACTATTTAAAACTCCGGCATCTCTCTGCATCCTCATTATCTTGTTCTCCCTTCTGCTGCTTGGCTCAGGCCAAGTGTTACAGGAACAGATCCCTGAGGCTATTTTGAAACCCGCTATCTTTTCTTTTTCTTTTTCTTTTTTTTGAGACAAGGTTTCACTCTTGTTGCCCAGGCTGGAGTGCAATGGTGTGATCTGTGCTCACTGCAACCTCCACCTCCCAGGTTCAAGCGATTCTCCTGCCTAAGCCTCCTGAGTAGCTGGGATTACAGGTGCTTGCCACCACGCCCGGCTGATTTTTGTATTTTTAGTAGAGATGGGGTTTCACCATGCTGGCCAGGCTGGTCTCGAATTCCTGACCTCAGGTGATCCACTTGCCTCAGCCTCCCAAAGTGCTGGGATTACAGGCATGAGCCACCGCGCCTGGCCAGAAACCTGCTATCTTAATAGTCTGCTGCATTTTAAGATGTTTTAATTCTCTCTGACAGTTGGGAGAGCAAGTGACAGTATATTGTCACTGAGAGAACACAGTTTCAATAAAACAAAAGAGTTTAAAAAAGCCAAGATCAACTTCCAATAGTAGCTTGTAAATAAGCAGGTGCTTCTGCATAGTTCAAATATGAGCAAAAGGGAAGTACCATTTATTCACTCATGTGTTGGCAGAGTAAGGTCTTAGAGACTCATACATTTGAAGAGTGTTATTCTGTTAAGACATTCAGCTCTAGTTTAACCTTGGAAGAGTTTGCATAAAATAAAGACTTTCTTTCTCTTTTCCTTTCTTTAGTTTTTAAGAGAGCCGTCATACTGGTTTATAAAGAAAACTGCAAACTGAAAAAGAAATTGGTAAGGCAAAAATTCGTTTTAATTTAAGCTACCTTTTCATGGCTGTATCTTCCTATTAACGTTGAACTGAAAAGCCCACTGAGCACCACGGCTGTGCTGACTGATACTGCTTACTCTGAGGGTCACTAACCCCATCACATACTGAGAGTGTTTCTGAGTCTCCCCGTGAAAGATGTCTGTTTTAAAAGAAGACGTACAGCTGGGCATGGTGGCTTATGCCTGTAATCCCAGCACTTTGGAAGGCTGAGGCTTGAGCCCAGGAATTTGAGACCAGCCTGGCCAACAAGGTGAAACCCTGCCTCTACCAAAAATACAAGAAGTAGCTGGGTGTGGTAGCACGTGCCTGTAGTCCCAGCTACTTGGGAGGCTGAGGCAGGAGGATCAATTGAACCCAGGAGGTGGAAGCTGCAGTGAGCTTTGATCATGCCACTGCATTCCAGCCTGTGCGACAGAGTGAGACCCTGTCAATAAATAAATAAGTAAATGAAGTAGATAAATACTCATATGGGGGCCTACATAGAAGATCAACTTTTATATCCCTGAAAATGGCCCATGGTTGTTCCATACACAGTCTGTGAAACTTTGGTTTATTTTCAAATGCCTTTTACCTTGACTCAGAAAAACAAAAACAAAGCTTAGCTGTGGATACCATATGCCATCAGTTTACCATTCAGAGATAGCGTGAGGGCGTGGAAGCCTTGGCTGCTCTTCTCGCTTTGAGACCTGTAACTGATTCTGAACCACAACTCGGCCTTCCCACCTTCCCCAGCAATGTGAGGTCTTTGAGAATTGGGTGCGTAGCTGATTGACTTCTGTGCCCTGAACACCCACATGGCTGCTCGGAGACTCGCCCACAGGGAGAACATAAACTCCTATTCACCGTGCACACATCCTCCCCCAGTGAGAGAGCTTCCCTAACACTTTTCTTGGTGGGCCTTCATGTTACAGCCCTCGAATTCCCGGCCTGCACACAACTCTGCTGACTTGGACCCATTTAAATTCCGCTGGTTGATCCCCATCTCCGCGCTTCAAGTCAGACTGGGGAATCCAGCAGGTAACTGTTTCATGCAGTATGATGCCAGAAAAAGCATTTCAGTAGACTTCACTGTGGAATGAAAAGTAAGAAAGGACCTTGGGGATAATTTTTGGTGCCTTTTATTTTATAGACAAGGAAAACGAGGACAAAGAGAGGTTATTTTGCTGTTCCTTAGCAGAGTTCTGAGAGGAAGTAAATGCTGGTGGATAGGTTTTTCTTTGCCAAATGCCTTTCATTGTTTCCTTATTGTCTCTACAATAGTTTTCAACATTTTCCTTTCTGCCTTGATACCCTAAAATGTATTAGAAAAACAGATCCACAAATTTATGTTTTTACAAATTTAGAATATAGCAGAAAATTCCTTAAGGTTAGGTAGTACTTTAGGTGATATAAAAAGAAAAAAATCTTTGACTCTGGAAAATGTTCAGAGATCCTTCCAGAGTAACCTTGTTTTGGTGACAGGCCTCTGGTGACAGAAGAGGCCAGCAGGCTGAATCATGCAGTGACCTGCTGGGCTTCTGTTTAACTTTTGTCAGAAGTGCTTATGTTTTCTAGAACATGACTGCATTTGGGGTTGGCCTCTTTTACCTCAAGTATCCCAGTTCCTGTTCCGTCCAAGGAAAGGGCAAAACTGCAAAGGAGGGTTGAAGAATAGGATCCACCAAATCTCTTCCCCAGACAGGGGCTCCAGAGAGAGGGCGAAGGCAGTTCAGATGGAGGAAAATCTGCAACAGGAAATGTAAAGAGTAACCAAAAGGCATTTCAGTTCGTGTAACTGTGAAAATCATACATAGAACAAGCCACAGAAGAAAACGAGCCAGGACTGGGAATATTAGACTTTCTTAACTCACGAGATTTAAACTTCACAAGTGTTCTTAACCACAGCATTTTGGGCAAAGTTGTAGACTCTTGTTTCCATTTCCTTTTACACAGGGACAGAAAATAATTCCATATGGGAACTGATCCATACGAAGTCAGAAATAGAAGGACGGCCAGAAACCATCTTTCAGTTGTGTTGCAGGTATGACTGACTTCCAAAGATTAAAACCAACAGAAATAACATAGAATTATGTCTCTTAAGGAAGGGAGTTTATATTTAGTGCCCTCCTGAATTTTGATGACATCAGGGTCACACTCCCCACCCTCTGAAAAAGGCAACTGAGGCCGCTAGTAGGAGAATACATTGATTAAATAAATACCAAAATCTTAAGAGTGATCAATTCTCACCTCCTTTTGTATGGGAGGCCACAGGGCACTGCTGTTGGGTGGCTGGCTGGCAGCCTGGCCCAGCAGGTGCAAGGCACAGGAACACGGGCGGGCGTGGAATGGAAGCACGATGAACACTCTGGACACTTCTGCTGTTTTCTCTCCCCCCCACCCAGTGACAGTGAAAGCAAAACCAACATTGTTAAGGTGATTCGTTCTATCCTGAGGGAAAACTTCAGGCGTCACATAAAGTGTGAATTACCACTGGAGAAAACATGTAAGGATCGCCTGGTACCTCTCAAGAACCGAGTTCCTGTTTCAGCTAAATTAGGTGAGAATTTTGCTAGCCTTGTGTTTATTCAAGCAAACATTATGAGCTTCTGAAAAGGATATATGCTCTTGTAATACAGCTGTGAGTTTTCACTTCGTAAGTCATCAAGGTACTTTTATCTCCTTTGAAGAAACCTAAACATGCCTCTTGCTCCCAGACATTCTACTGGAAAATACAGCCACCCCCAACCCCCAATCCCTTGTCTTCCTACCAGCTGACATAGTCCAAATGTACGATTTTGTTTCTTCCACTAAGATGTGCATGGGTCCAGGGACTTTGTTTTCCTCACCGCTGTATTCCCAGTGCTCAGAGCAGTGCCAGGCATCCTGAAGGTCAATGCTGAATGAAGATCAAGAACCTTACACAGAGGGTCTCCACCTTCTGATGGTTCAACCTACAATTTTTTGACTTTACCATGGTGTGAAAGTGACACACATTCAGTAGAAACCGTACTTCGAATACCCAGACAACCGTTCTGTTTTTCGTTTCTAGTGCAGCATTCAATACATTTCATAACACTTAATTATAAAACAGACCTTGTGCTTTGTCCAACCGTAGGCTACTGTAAGTGTTCTGAGCACACTGAAGGCAGGCTAGGCTAAGCCGCAGTGGTTAGTAGGTATATTAAATGCATTCTCGATTTCAATATTATCAACTGAACAATGGGTTGATTGGGATGTAATGCCGTCTAAGTTAAGGGGCCTCTTATACTCGTTCTTAATCCATAAGGCACCAAGTAAGCATTTCAAATCACGTTATTCTGCTTGTTTCTAAAATTTCAGCTTAAGTTTTCAGAACCTTATTTCTACATTAACTATTTTGTTATTATCTTTGTTGTTTTTAGTCTTAGAAAATGTAAAACTTCTCTTTTTCATGTCAAATCAATGTGACCTCTTCAGATTTACCACATATTTACTATTTTCTCCATTGTCAAAATAAACTGGCCATCAAAATAACATGCTGTTATTATTTGTAGAAACACCAAAACTGAGAACTCCCTTGCTTCTTTCAATCCAAGAGAACAGAACTACACACACACACCCTCACCCACCCACCCACACACACCCCTATAACATCAAATTTCAGAAAGTTGGTTTGAAATTCCAGCAGAGACAGTTCTCATATGAGAGAGAGAGTATTTTCTAGGCCGGGCATAGTGGCTCATGCCTGTAATCCCAGCACTTTGGGAGGCCAAGGCAGGTGGATCCCTTGAGCTCTTGAGAACAGGAGTTTGAGACCAACCTGGGCAACATGGCGAAACCCCATCTCTACAAAAAAATATAAAAATTAACTGGGCATAGTCGTGTGCACCTATAGTCCCAGCTACTCAGGAGGCTGAGGTGGGAGGATCACTTGAGCCCAGGAGGTGGAGGTTGCAGTGAGCGGAGATCACACCACTGCACTCCAGCCTGGGTGGCAGAGCAAGACACTGTCTTTAAAAAAAGGGGGGCGGGGAGGAGTATTTTCTACTTTTAACTGAGCAGCAAGGGAAATCCACAAAGTGAGAAGATACATGGTGTAATCTCGATGATCAAATTACAAAGCACCTTAGTGAAAGAAAGGAGCCTAGATTTATTAGCAATTAACTTTTCAATGTACTCATTGGCAAAATAGGAAATCTTAGCCCATATAGTAGTTTCTAGTGTCTAGTTCTATCTAAATAATTGAGCTCTAATAATCTAAAAATGCTGAATTGCCCAACTTACAACTGTAAACCTAAGTCAAAAATTTCCATGTTTTCAGTAGCTACGTTTTTGCCTAAATACCAGGATAGTTGCTACCTGAAGTCATATCATAAAATAAAATCTTAATTAAGATGTTAAATCTTACACAGGCTTTGAGGCAAACGTTACACATTGTGTAACCTGTTTCTGTATCACAGCGAAATGTGTTTTCCTCACTGCAGCTTCATCCAGGTCTTTAAAAGTCCTGAAGAATTCCTCCAGCAACGAGTGGACCGGTGAGACTGGCAAGGGAACCTTGCTGGACTCAGACGAGGGCAGCTTGAGCAGCGGCACCCAGAGCAGCGGCTGCCCCACGGCCGAGGGCAGGCAGGACTCCAAGACTGCTTCTCCAGGGAAATACCCACACCCTGGCTTGGCAGATTTTGCCGACAATCTCATCAAAGAGAGTGACATCCTGAGCGATGAAGATGATGACCACCATCAAACTCTGAAGCGGGGCAGCCCTACTAAAGACATCGAAATTCAGTTCCAGAGACTGAGGATTTCTGAGGACCCAGACGTTCACCCCGAGGCTGAGCAGCAGCCTGGCCCGGAGGCGGGCGAGGGCCAGAAAGGAGGAGAGCAGCCCAAACTGGTCCGGGGGCACTTCTGCCCCATCAAACGAAAAGCCAACAGCACCAAGAGGGACAGAGGAACTTTGCTCAAGGCACAGCTCCGTCACCAGTCCCTTGACAGTCAATCTGAAAATGCCACCATCGATCTAAATTCTGTTCTAGAGCGAGAATTCAGTGTCCAGAGTTTAACATCTGTTGTCAATGAGGAGTGTTTTTATGAAACAGAGAGCCATGGAAAATCATAGTACGATTCAATCCAGATATGGGTTAAATTCCTCATTTTACTTTTAAACTGGTGGTAAAGTGGAAATTGCAAAAAAACTATTCATTCCTGGGTTTTGTGCAGTATACATTTTCCCACGAAATGGTTGTAAAGATTTAAGTTATTTTAATTTATTGTGGATCAGAAACCTAGAAGAAACTGGTCAGAATCTGTAAATTACTTAGTTTATATCCACTTTGAGCAGGTATCAATCAAATGATTTAGAATCCTTAAAATTGCCTTCTAATTATTTTAAGTTATGCGGAAAAAGTAAGGCTGGGGAAGTTGTGATTAATAGTTTTCAAAGGGTCATTTTTTAAAATCCTCTGGGCATTTTCTTTCAGCTGTCAGTTTTTGCTTTATTTAAAGCATATTTAAGTTATTTTAATGTGGTTTAGGGGCAAAATGTGCAGATACTTCATTTTTGTAAGATTGTAATAGATGCTGTTTATACTAAACCTGTTATATCTATACAGTATATATTAAAAGAAAGCTTGTACTGTATCTTATTTGATGATATTTATTTTCTCTGCCAAGCTGTATAGTAAAAGGAAAGTAAGTCACATCTGGTCATTGGCATTTTTATTGTCATTCTGTAAAGACAAAAGAGTACCCACATAAGAAGCTCCACATAGTGCAAATCGACATCTGGTAGGCTGCTCGCCCCCAGGCAGCAGCTAGAGTCTGTAACTCTTTGCGTCATCCTGTTTTTCTTTCTTTTTGATTTTTCTTTGCCTGAGTTCTTCTCTGAAATTATATGCAAAGAGTTGTGGGTCTTCATCACACATTCTTCTGTATACCTCACAGAGGCTTTTAAAGTGTGAGATGGAGAGCTGGCGAGGCCGAAGAGTAGGGTCTATGTCTGCCAACTCTAACAGCCTGCCCGTGTTTTCCAAGCGCTGCGCTTCAGGGAATAACATTCTGAAGGGAAGAGAGAAATATCAGAATTTTACTTAAATTCCACCAATCATGACTCCTTTTAACCCTCATTTGAAAACAACACAGTTGCTGACTACTGCCAGCTGGAGGGAGTGGCAGGAGCCTCCTGGATTATATAGCACCAGGTAACAGGCACGGCCCATGACTGAGGCAGCTCTAACCTGATGCGCGAGGCAAGCCCACAATGGGAAAGCATTCTCCAAAGCTCAATCAGTACATGCACTTTTTAAGGTAAGTTTAACATCTGCTCAGCTGCGTTCTTGTAGAACTACAAGCTTGATTTGCCTCATGTTTCGATGTGAAAGTTGTATTATTTCTTGTGTGACAAATCCCCAGTTTTGATTCTCTAGAATTTGAATTTATCAGCCTTTATAGAACTCTTCATGCTAAAAGAGTTACTTTTTTTGCTAAAAGTTTGAAAATAGCTAATAGGAAAATATAAATAATTATCCCTCTTGTTATTTTTCAAGCATCTTTAAAACTGATTTGAAGTAGAGAATATATTTTAAATTTCACCTATCTGAATTGAACCATTGTTTTAAAATAAATAGCAGAACTGCTTGAAACGCTGTGGAGTTAGGCCTGGATTGCATTTTTCTTCAAGTCTCAGGGTTCTTACAGAGCTCATCCCAAAGGGCTTGGAAGGTGTCGTGGTCAGGGAGATTGCATGTTGCTTATAGGCTGATGGTCCTTTCAACAAGGAATTGCATGTCCCCCCCAGTTTCAGGGTGACAGATCTTTGAGTTCAGTTTCATGGCAAAGAGGACCTGATGACGGTTTCTAACATGTGAAGAACACCAACAGGTCAAAGAACTTTGCCCTGTTACCCCAGATGGCACAGTATCTGGTCCATGTCTGTCCTGAGGACGGTGTATCTGAAATGAATAGGGCCCTTCACTTAGCTGGGGGGTTGCCTTGGAAACGCTAGTGCCAGCTCTAGGCTCAGACCAATTCCAGGATTTCCAAAAGCACATAAAAGGACATAGGCTTGTGTTCCCCCTCCCCATGAATCAGGGCTATCAGGTACAGCTGTGTGGGTCCTGCTGTGCATGAGGGGTAAGTGTGAGCCGAAATCCAGCTTCTGTTCCCTCACCAGCAGCGCACGGTAGCTGAGGGCTGCAGCCACAGGGCTGTCTTTGTTCTAATCAGCACCAAAATGGCTGGCCAGTGGCATCTCTGTCACCAGCTCTGCACCTCAAGTCTCTGCTAGAGAAGCAGGAACTAGCTGGTAAGGTGGGAATCCTGGCTTAATTAGAGGCCACAAGTGGCAGGCTGACGCTCTAACTTCTGCCATCTGGTATCCTCGGCAATGGGCTTTGTGGGCTGCAGCGCTCTTAGGAGCTGATGCCCAGCCGGCCCCTAAAATAATCTGCTGTCATTTCATGTGCTGAAGGGACACTTCAGACCCTGTGAAGGAGAGAATTACAATGAAGCCATGTGAGGAGGTTTTAGAAACTGAGAAATATGTGCCTCTCCGGCTGAGCCCCTTTCAACAGCTGAATATGGATAGATGATCAGAGACGGAAATCTTTGACAAACACACACTTTCCTGCCTTCTTAAGCAGACCATCCCTGGGCCTGACTAAACAGCTTCTTGGCTCTTTCTGGATCTGCAACATAGCTGTGGTCCTTCAGAGCCCATCAAGGTGGGCGGCCTCTAGACCACCGCGCCCTGTTGGCTTTTCCCAGTGGTTCCTGTGAGCCTCTTGGGAGCAGCCGCTTTCTGTGAGATGGAAATGTGCTTTCGTGAGGACTTCGCGATGATTTTGGCTGCTCAGAAGTCACATTTGCTTCCTAGTTCTCAAGTATGTCCTTAAAGAAGAGACAGGGCAACTCGGAAGAAAGCAAGCACTTAAAAAACCCATTATTATCTGTCTCGAGTCCTCACTGGGGAACCACGAGCTCCCCGGTACACAGCCACTGTGAGCTGTGCAGTCCCCAATTCCAGCCTGTGTGTATGGTAAAGCCACCCTGTGACGGCCACCTGAGGTCTAGCAAGTCTTTCTTTGCTCTCTCCTCAGTGACAGTGAAGTCTTGTCCGTCACAGGACTGAACTCAGTGTAATACTCAGAGCTTTAACAATAGAGCAAACAAGGTTCTTACTCTTAAAAAGTGCCTAAGGATTTTATAAAGACTACGACTGAAAAGAAGAAAAGGCATTCTTACCCGAGCCCTCGATGGCAGTATTTCCTTCGGAACTGAAATACATTCTGAACCACTTTTTCCACCAGCTTGAACGGTTGCTCTATCTTGGGCTGTATCAAGGGAGTGAAGTGCACCACGCCCACGTCCACCTTCATTGTAAGCAAACATATTATCATTCTGTGGCATGATATGTGGCATAGTGTGATCAATCAACTCATCCTTGTTAAACAGGAGGATAGGCTGTCAACAGCCTGTTTTCATAAACCGACTCTTCCATGTACTTCAGTGTCATCTCTAGGCATGGAAGATGGTACATTCTGGATTTGCAAATGACATGGAGAAATCAGCTGGCTGCACCTGTTCTCTAATGACATCCACCAGACCTGTGCTTGATGGTCACTTAATTTTAAAACGCAGTTTCACAATGGCTTAAAAATCAATCCAAATCATTCAAGTCAGTCAGCAGATAACAGGTGGCATTAGAATATTTTAGTTTTTGAATGAGTAAAAAAATAGGCTGCAGCAGCAGCTTCAAGACACGGAGAGAGGGCAGACAGGCCCCCAGGGACCACTCAGTGCTAAACTTCTCAGACAGAGACACCACTTATTTTCGGTAGACACTGATTAATCAGCTGTAGTCTGAAAAGCCACAGAACTTTCTAGTAGCAACTTTAAATGCCCCGAAAGGCACAGGCAGGACTGAAATTGAAAATGGAAACCATAAAAAAAAAGTCACTGTTTGATAGTGTTTAAACTACTGCCAGCTGTGGAGCTTCTTTAATTGTCAGAAGATACAACTTTTCAGGCATAACTGATAAGAGATTTACACCCTGATTTGTTCCAAAAATGGACTCATGGTAATTCACCAGGACACATTCAAATACCAAAGGAAAAACATTTAAAGACAGAGGGAAATGGAGTCAAAACAGTAACGACACACACAAAAATGCTGACGGAGACCACGGTCTAGGAAATGGGAAGTCTCGTCATAATTGACAAAAGCCTCAGTGTCCAGGAATTGTTAAACTTGTTAATGAGGATCTCATACAGACTCAACAAAAGGCAAAGAGAGTAGGGCAATTTAGGAGGTGTGGGCTGCACCACTGCTTTTCCAAAGGAACTCTATTGTGGAAATCCCACAGGGGTTGTCATTTTCTCTTAAGAGGACTTGCTTCTAAAGATCCTTGTGGCCACATAATTCCTTAAAAAGATGAAGATCGGAGAGTGGCTTTTCTGGTTGTGTTTATTTTAGGGTAGAAGGAAAACAACTGAATATGATGTGAGACTTTATGGACAAGAAAGTGAAAATAAGCTGTGCTGAGCCTCATGCATCCTGATGTGCTGTGGGAGGAGCCTGTGGTGCCTTAGCTATGTTATCTGGGACCCGGACCCCCGAGACCTTGCACCTACCTATTGAAACAATCAATGACCCTGTCCCCGAAGGTTTCAGGTCAGCTACAGCTGCTCCTACTGGATGGAATGGGAAATAGAAGGCTTTGGTGGTAAGCGGCGGTGTCGGCTGATGCAGGCTGAGAACGTGCCAAGCAGCCTTTCCACACCCCAAATGCCCACCCACAACGTCCATCAGCCTCCTGGTGAAGTCCACCAGGCTGTTCTTGTGAAGATTCTATGGTGGAACAGTCGTTATGAACAGTGACTTCACTTAGATGCCAAACGTTCTTAATACATTTTAATAAGTGTGTTGAATTGTGTGGAACAGTAGTTACGAGCATTGACTTCACTAAGATGCCAAATGCTCTTAATACATTTTAGTAAGTGTGTTGAATTGTGTGCTATATGTTGTTTCATCTGTTTCCTCAAGTTTAATAACAACTACCTCTTCCTACAGGACTTCCCTTAGACCTTAACAAAACACACCATGGAACAGTGTCTGTCTAGCTTGGAGAGGTCTGTGGTCATCAGGGAAAGAGGGGCTGTGGAGTGGACGCAGGGTTTAGGTGGGGTGGGGGTACAGCTATAGGGAGAGAAGAAAGGTGGTTTCAGCTCAGGGCAGTTCTGGGGAAGGAAAAAGAAGACCAAGACCTGATCTATGAATGGCAGAGTGCAAGCCGCAGTTCCATTGACTTCAGATGTCAGGTTCCTTCTCACAAACCCTGCACTATCCTGCCTACCTTGCCTCCTCCTGATTTGTACAGAGAAGTGGCCCCAACTGTCAGGCATGTGTCTGACCACTCTCTACACCTCACCAGCCTTCTCTCACTGGACTCTCCATTCCCCTTTCATCCCTGGAGCTCCCTGGTGCCCTCATCCCTGCCTCCCATCATCCAGGACTCATCTCCTGTAACCCTTCAACTCCAGTTCTCCCAGTGACACAGAGCCCAATTCTAGCCATTCTTACTAGCAGCCTGCTAGTCTCCAGAAAAAATACTCTTAGCAAAATCTGAGATAAAATCTAATCCCTGCCTCGGCCTAAAGCCATGAAGTATTATCAAAACTCTACATAAGGCTTAAAAATTATTAAGACCAAAAGCACAAATACAGAGAGATGAACTCTCCTTCCAGTACAGAAACTGCCACTTCCAGCTTCTTTATATTTTTAATTTTGGCATCATCCTTATTTGCCTGATTTCATTCCTTTGAGATATAGTTGATATTTGTAAATACAGGAAATGTCTAACTTTCACTTGGGTTTTAAAATCCTGAACAAATATAGCAGTACTCCATGTAAACTATAGCAGTCGACTTCTAAAGTTTGAATACAATTCCAGTACCCTGCTAAGCTGGCTTACATCACGTCCCAGCTACAACAGCACTCCCCTCAGAAATGCAGTTACTATTTAGTGGGAGAGTCTGTAAAACTCAGTGTCAACAAAGCTCTTCCAGTTATGTCTCCTGCTTCTGGGACGGCGAGGACCTCTCCTGTACCACCCCTTCCTCTCCCTTTCCCCCAAAGGCACCTTTCAGAATTACTCTGAATGATGGAGCCCATTTTTTCTAGAACTATAGGAAAACTGCTTGGTAACTATGGTAACGAATACAAAAATACTTTTTACTTATAATTGAATGCTTATTTAAAATTACAACTATTATTTTTTCTTCCTTGAGTTTTAAGTCTGTTAATGGGTTTGATTACAAAAAAGAAATCAGTACAAAGGCATTAGAAGTACTTAAAATATTCTAGTTCAGTGCTGCCAGCCCCTTTCCAAACTCAGTCTATCAGTATACCAAAATGACCTACTAAAATTTCAAATGAAAGGATTTAAAATGAATTTAAATATTTGCCTTTCTAACCCTATACGTCAACACTGTAACAAACTAAGACTGTTTCTCAGTGTTAGCAGCTTTAGCCATAACAGGCCCGAAGCTGATGTCCTAGTTTCCAGGCCAGGGTGTCTAGGACGTGACGGGTTATCAGCTCAGAGCAGCACTTGGAACTCACAAGGGACCTGGGCTAAGGAGATATTAAACCTTAAATCTTAGATATTAGATATTACAACTGAGAACTGTAATCAACATGATATACAGATGACACTGAAGAATGTACAACTCAGTTCCTGATGATTATCATATGCCCAAAAGCTAAGTCACGACCACATGCACAGACGCAGAAACAATACTGGTCACTGTCTACGAAAGGGTCTTCATTCAACACGCTCATGGTGTTCAAGACCATTAGAGGACGAGATAGGGGAGAGGAAAAATGATGAGGAAGTTACTACGTAATCAGCCAAGACACAGCCATAACTTAAGACAACAGAAGGGCTAGTGAAAAAAAGGAAAAAAAGACCACAGGGAATAATCAATAAGACTTTAAAGAACAACATATAAGAAGGATTCAAAGTTCAAAGTGGGATGATCACGAGCAGACCTGGGTAGTTGGGAACAGGAAGCGTATGGCATCTTGCAGGCTATAGGCACCACAAGATGGAACACAGGAGGACAGGGGCTTGGGAGAGTCACTTCAGTGTTGGGTAAAACAACAGAGCAAGATGAGTGCCTCTGGATGCTTGGTTTCCCCACCCTCCAGGGTCTGCCTGCTCTTCAAGTACCTCCCCCAAGCTAATGACAGTCCACTTTACGACATTGCAGGTCTTGAGGTTACAAGTTTCCCAGGTAAGAAGAATCCCAGGTAGAGGCAGCAAGTCACTGATGCCTATGATATGATAATTATGCATGTCATAGAAAAAGAAAATACTGACAAATGTGAATGTAGATCAAATTTCCCAGAATTGGTTTACTCTACCTGTGATCCACGTCCCAAAGCCAATTTAAGGAAAGAATTTCCACTGTAAAACCTTAAAGCTGACAGCATTCTAAGTATTTCAAACCAACTGGTTCAATAAAGATAACTACACAGTCAGCACCTATCCTAAAGTTTACAATTTGCGTTATTGTAACAATATTTATTTCTGCAGAAGTTCTGTCCTCACCCTTTTTTCTTCCTACAGATCTTTGTTTTTTTCTCCTCCTTGAGATCATAAAAAAAGAACAGATTTTAAGCAGTCACACAGTGTTTCCTCTCAGAGCAGATGTGGTAGGAAGAATTGAGGCCAAGAGAGTGACAGGGAATGCAGATCACAATGAGAAATAAGACTAAGAAATGTGGTGAGGGGGATGAAGAGGTTTTTTACTGTGTAAATTATGTAAATGGACATATGTATGTATGTAAATTATACCTATTAGTAATAACAACAACAAGATGAGTCAGTGTCTCTTGGTTCTAAGAGATTAAACAATTTCAGGGAGATGCACGTGTATCCTCAAGAAAGCACAAAATGGAATAAGAATTGACAATTGTTGTATAAAGATTTTCTGTTATATTTAATCTGGAGTTCCCAGATGATCAGAGGGAAAAGACCTTCCTAAAACCAGGCCTTTTCCACAAGCCATGACCTTGGTGTCTGTGAAGCAGCAGCATCTGGAGGTGCCCTGTGTTTCTGTCCCGGGCTGTGCTCCCGCTTGGTTTGTGGATGTGGCAGGAGTTGCC